TGTAAATAAAATGGCTCCGTCCGTGTTAAAATATATTTTAAAAAAATTACAAAACTAAACATCCTACAGTATTTTGACAGTCTTTATTTTACAGTTAAAATAAATGTTTATCAATTAAAGTCTAACATTACAACCAATCATGGATCCCTTTAAATTCTTTTCAGAGTCTTGCGCCACCCTGTGTTTGTTCAGAATATGATCCCTGTCCAGATTTACCTGCTTCACTGTGAGCCACCACAACCCCCAGTTCATTCTCAGCCGTCGTCAACAAGTAGTTCGACTGAATGTCCCCAAGAGAAATCTGACGTTGCAGGTCAAGGTGTTACAACACACATTCCCCATGAAGCATAATAAACAGATTACAATATTTAGAAATGAGTAACGAAAAACTGAAAGAAATTGCCACAGGTTGAGTGGTAGCTTGTGAAATGTGCTACCTGTCACACTAGACAACTTATGAAACATTTTTTATCTCTAAATTGATAATAAAATCTGTATATTTGATCAATTTGTTGGAATTACAGTACGTACACACCTAAAAGAAACTTCCAGTTGATTTTTTCCAATTCCATTTTCAACGTAGATGTCTTTAAATTTTTCATAAATTGGCCTAAGTTGTCTAAAGCGTCATAGTGACAGGGCCTTTTATTAACCCCAACTCCCTATTATTAAACATTCCTAAAGATTAAAACAATAATAATAGTAATAAATTATTCATTTCAGACAGTTTACTGTTGTACTGCTGTCACGTTCAGCTCAAGGAATCTTAGAGCTCATAAAGAAAACAGTCTAGGAATGAGTTGAAAAGGTTGTACAGCTCATCACTTTTGAAAAACAGACCAAGCATGTTAAAGGATACCACTTTTGCCAAGACAATGTCTCCGGGTCTGAAGCTTTTGTATATCTCCACCTGTGACAAAGAAGAGCAACAGAAACACTCAGCACAGCTTCTTAAACCAACCAGAGAACAGAAAGTATAAAGAAACTATGAAATGATCTTAACGTCTGAAGTCTCACCTTATCTTTCTCTGTTGCTCGAACATCCTCTTTCCTGCAGACACAGAAAGTGAGCTGTGAGTTCAGGAAATCTAATAAACCAACCTGCTTTACTCTGAAATGAGTTTCTGGGGTTACCTGATTGTTCCTCTGAAGCGGTCCTTCAGCGGTGTGGATCCAACATAAAGGATTTGGACTTTGGCAAACCTGGGGTTGATGCTCGTCACCTTTTGAAAGAAAAGTCAAGTCAACAAAAAGGCAAATCTGAATGTTAACAGATCAAACCATTAACATCTGAGTCTTTTATTTTCTTAAATATTTGTTGTGCATTTGTCAGAAATTATTTAGAGAACTATAAAAAAAAAATTAAAAGGTAAAAATTGTACAGTTGAATAAAAGCGATGCGAAATGATCTTTACAATGACTTATTCTGCATTTGGTCCAAAAGGTGCACATGCTAATTTAATTATTTTAAAAGAAATACAACATAATTTAATTCTGAATAACCTTTAAGGTGCCTGTGACATCAAATTTTTGCAATAAAAATGAATGTAATTTTGTAAGGATAACACTGATGACATATTAAAAAGATTTCATTCAGCTGAGATGAACAGTTGTTGAGATATTTGCATGTGAAGTAACAGGAAGTGAYGTYAAAGGGGAATGTCTGCATGTGAACAGAGCTTTGCTCAAATGGCTAACAACACAGACTGTAGAAAACAATCTGATGTTTCTTTAGATTATTTTAATCCCTATCATAGAGAGATGAGAAAGAGTCTGAGTCCAAATAATATTGTTTCAATAAACAAAAATCAGGAAGTTTTCTTTCTCAAAGAGTTCCCCTTTAATGTCACTTCCTGTTTCACTTTAGCTGAGCCAAATTCAAAAGAAAATATGCCAATTATGTGACATAAAGGCTAAAATCATGTGTATTATGCCTAGTTTCTTCAATATAAATATATTTTCTTTGACTTTTCATATTTCATGGATATGCATGTCACAGGCACTTTAAGTTTGTGGCTATTTTTTGAACTGAAAAGAGAAGGTGGGACAGAAAAACATTTTACAGAAATCTGAACGTATGTGATTATTATTTTCATACAGTGCCACATACCTTGCAGGTAACTATGGCTCCAACATCTGGCAGGAGTTGTGCTTCTGTTTCCCTCACCACTGAGATCACTGGCAGCTAGAAAAATAGATAAATGCAATAATGTGTTCAAAACAAAACACACAAAACTTTTTATGGTTGTGTGGTTTTAGGGTTATGGTTTTTTATGGTTATCTTCTAACCATAAAATGACATTACAAGTATTTACATTTCAGTGTTCAACCACAATTAATCTGCTATACACAGACATTACTCTAGGTGCAATAGTGTTCATCCATCCATTATCTATAGCCGTTTCTTCCTTTCAGGGTCACTGGTGCCCATATCCAGCAGTCACAGTGTGAGGGGCGGGGTACACCCTGGACAGGTCACAAGTCCATCACAGAAACAGACAACCATTCACTCTCACTCACATCTAGGGACAATTTAGAGTTACCGATTAACCTGACAGTCGTCTGTGGGAGGAAGATGGAGTATCTGAAGAGAACATGCAAAGTCTACCCAAAAAGGTTCCCAGTTCAGGATTTGACCCAGCAACCTTCTTGCTGAGAGGCATCAGCTCTACCAACTGAGCCGCCAGCAATAGTGTTCAATATTAGCTAAATATTCAAGGATCAATGGGCCTCATGCAAGAACCGTTCGTACGCACAGATTTGTTCTTAAGTTGTGCGTACGAG